ATCCTGTCTTCCATGACATACATCTTTAATTTATAAATTCTTTTTTTTTTTTTTTGTACCGGGGATTGAACTCGGGTCTTTGTGCTTGCACAGCGGGCAGCGAAACCACTGAGCTAAATCCCCGGCCCCTCTATAAATTCTGATAGGTACTCATTGATGTTTCATTGTATTTGTTAGAACTTTCAGACCAGTGCTAAACAATAGTGGTGAACATCAGATATAAGTGTCTGGGTGCTGGTTTTATTGGGGAAAACTTCAGTGTTTTGGAATTAAGTGTCTGGTTGGATATTCTTACATGGAATCTTTGTGTGGTTTTCATTGTTTGTTCCTTAGGCACACTAATTACAATCCAAGGAAGAATTTTCACCGATGTCTATGGAAGTAACACTGCACTAAGCTCAAATGGGAAAAATGTTAGGATTTTGAGGTAATTTTTATGTGAAAATATATTCTTCTGACTCATAGATGAAATATGATATTCTATAAATAATCGGTTCAATGATCTTAAACCTACTATGATGTGAAAGAACTAACCAATGTTTGTTCAGCCATATTGTAGGAGGAAAAATAGACTATTGGTTTATTCTTTGACATGAAGCAATTGTCCACACGCCTTTGTGTCTTTTGTGTTTTCAGACATAATTTCTTCTTTTTCTGTGATGGATTTTATTAAAAGAAAATACATGAATGCAAGTCTAATAGTAACTGAGTTATAGACATAGAACTTTGCTAATGGAAGACTCTATTATTTACTCTAACTGCCTCTATTTAAAAATACTTGAGGCCTGGAAGTCACATAGCTTAGTCAAAGTGAGTAGTAGATCCAAGTCTCCTAACACACCTTGGCACTTTTTCTATTGCACTGTGAGAGAGTGTGAAACTGAAAAGAGTAAAAAGAGTAACTCACTGACAGGTCAGGGTTTGAAGCAAGATTCCTCTGTTCGCTAGCTGTAGATCAGATGGTTACGTGGCTAGCTCGCTAACATCTGAAAGCAGTAGTTCACAGTTTGTACTGGACCTAATGTCCCTGGAGCATCCTTCTGTAGCATGATGGGGCTCTATCAGCCCTGCCTCAGAAAACTGAAAGTCCTCTTCATTTCCCACTGAAGTATGGATATACTACCATGGCTTTCAAGATGTTTCATGTTTATTAAATACATGTATAAAACAGAAGAATGGATAAATTACACAATTCAGACTGAAATTATAGGATTTGTTAAATGCTAAAAAGACTATATGTTACATATGTATGCATATATAATTTTATAAAACAAGCAATTTAAAAGGTTTTATTAAATGAAACAAAGGTGACTTAGCTGACATCCTGTGAGGTAGAATTTCCAATTAAATCCATTTACATGCAGCTGAAAATGTTCATATCGATTCCTTATATATAATAAAACATATTTAACATTTTATATATACAATTTAGTGTAAGTAAAGATTTTGTCTATTTCAAGATAGTTAAGTGCTATGAACACTAATTCCAAGATGACTTTTTTTCAGTTATCTTTTTTCCATATTGATGGATAAGTTTCCGAAACAGATTGCTCCCCACGGTCCCTTTCTCCCACAGTGGCTAGAATTTATCTATTCCATACCAATGGAATCAATGAAACTTATGAAATCATAAAATCACATCTAAAAGGGACCTCAAAGATGAGCATATCCACCTCTTGTACCCTGAAAATCCCGATATCTTATATATAAGTATAGGAAAAATATTTACCCACCTATTAAGGGGAGGATGAGATGTTCTTAGAAACTCGATGTCATTTACACCATGTTCACTAAGACCCTGGGCTTCCTAAGTCATTTTACTGTGCCTGTTTCATTAGTAGGGAGTTTAGAGCCAAGGGCTGTGCACTGGGCAGGAAGCCAGATTTTTCCTTTTGGCTGATGCTCCAAATTCACTCTAGGTGCAGATTATAGAGGACATGCTGATGATAGAGGATCTGGTGTCTACTAAGATGGTTTTGTTCTAAAAGTTATGTGAAATTTAAAAAAAATACATCATTAAGTCCAAATAGGGTGGTATTCTCAGATATGCTCACCTACGTCGTCATGGGAATTATCAGCTGTGGGTAAGAGCATAGACTGGGTTTGAATTCCTGCTCTATCCCTCCCAGCTGCAGGTTTGGGCAAGTTACTTAACCTTTCTGCCTCAGTTTCCTCACCTGTAAACGGAGAATGATAGTTAATAAGTCGTAGGATGGATGCAAGGATTAAACATAATAAGAGTCTATACAGGTTAGCTGCTAAATTTATTACTCAGTTGAAATAAAGCAAGAGTTTAAAAGGAGAATTTGAATCCAGGTATTTCTATAATGGGTTCAGCAATTCAGTTTATTTGCTTTACAAACCTCATGCAATGATCAAATGAAAGGACTTGTGTATAAAAGTATTTTTTTAAAGTTCAGCATTTCCTGCAAACAGAAGTCCTTGTTTTGCATAGTGCAGGTATCTATGAGACCTTATTTTGAATCTGGAATTTGCTATCACAGAAGCTAAGTGGTTTATTCTGATGTTGTGAATACCACAAAACCATAGTTACCTGTGAACCTGTGAGGCTCCAATAGCATCGAATCCTGTCAGCCTTCACATGATAGTTCTAAAAAGCTCATCAGCCAGGAAATGGGAAGATACATTCACTGCCGCCTCATCCTGGCTCTTCTCAGCTTCTCTCCTCCCCTCTCCTCCTCCCCTCCTGCTCCTCCGTGTACGTAAGTGTGTAAGAGACCACAGATGCCGTTAATGCCTGTTCATCATGAGAGCTGTGAGAACTCCCCTGTTTAATTCCTATGGCATGAATCTTACTAGAATATTGTTTTTATTTAAATTGAATGAACTGTAAGTGGATAAGTCCATTATCTATGTTTTCCTGTGCATTTAGCACTTTCTAACACACCAAATGTTAGGATTATCACGTTTATTAGTCTCTTCCAGTAAAATATTCAGTAGATCTTTGTTGAAGGAATGAGTGACAGATAATAAGTAACTGAGATAGAGAAAATATAAGGTGGCCATTGAACTTCCTAGGAGGAGGGTATTTTGCAATAATTTATTAAACATAACAATGTTTTAAAATAAAATGTTTATGCAGAGTTTACGTTGGAGGAATGCCCTGTGAGCTTCTCAAACCACAATCTGATGATTTGTGAGTAATTAATTTTCTATATAAAAATAATTAGCAGATATAAACATACTAAATTTAAATAATTGCTAGCAGTACTGCATAGCTAGATGCTGTAAAATACAGTATAATTTATAATATTTTATATATTAAAGTAGCATTCATTTATATTGTTATAATATTCTTAATTATATTTTGTCTGATTTTTCATGTTATAACCCCAAGACACTTTGTATATATTTTTATATTGTAGGTACTTTTTAAAGATACTTCAGTTTCCATTTCTTTGAGGATTATAGGCAATTTATAAGTATAGTTTTTAGTTTTTTTCTACTTTTTATAACATATACTTTATACGTCTCCAATATAGTACGTTATGAACCAATATTTAGGTTATTATGAGAAAAAGATGCTTTCAGAAATATCTTTATCAAATCATTGTTTCATTGGGTAGTATCTGTAAAAGAGATATCAATGTGGACATCAAAGTTAATTACAAAATATTTCATTATTATGTGACATTTTATTTAACTATCTTCAATGAAATCTTGGAAATATTTTCATTTACAGAAATTTTTGTTGTAGCAATAGTTTCTATGCTGATACATATTCTGAAATGAGATGTTTTAAAGGAAAAAAACAGTATTTTAAATGTTAAGATATACTTTGATATTAACACATATACTTGTTAGGTATGGTCTAAAACTACATCATCCAAATGGAGACATGGGCTCTATGATTTGTAAGATAACTGGAACTTACATTGGTAAGTGTTGATTGTCTTTCTTCATAATTGTTTTGGTTGCCTGACTCTACTTCCCCATTTCGTGTTTTACTTGACCTCTCCGGCCTTTTTTTTTTTTTTTTTTTAAATATTTTCTTTCTTCCTTGGCTTCTTTTCGCCTCATGTAAATGTATACAAAAGTAGTTTTTCTTAAGGTTTACATATAAATTACTTCACATTTCTTCTTTCCCACAGAGGATTCTTCGAGTTATTAAGCTGTTGGCTTCACTTCACACTGTTTTTTATTCCCCCTTTGCTGTACATATTCCAGACATATAGACCTTTTGATTCTTGAATGAGTTTCCCTCTTTTCTCTCAGGACCTTTTTAAACATCCTGTCCTGAAAATTGTAGATAAAATGTCTGTCCTCAGGAGAATCTCCTTTGGCCTCCTGTTTTTCATTCTCAGAGCTCGCTTTTCTCTTCCTGGTGGCCTTGTCACAGTTTTTAGCTCTCTGTCTGTGCCCCTGGCCTTGACTGACTGATTCCTTCCCAGACAAGGCGCTGTCAGATGAAGGGAGGGTGCATCCTGTGTCTCTCCACCCCTAGCAGGGGCTCTAAACAATTAGGGCTGACAATAAGGAAAGGGATTTCAGGCTCAGTTGCATATCTGTTCTCATATTATTCTGTATTCCTAATTATATTTTGTCAGATTTTTCTAGTTACAAACTCAAGAAACCATATGTATGTTTTTATAGTGTAGGTACTTATAAAATATAGTGCAAGACAAAGACAAGAAAAGATCCTCTTTTACAAAAAAAGAAGCAAATAGATAATAGCACAAAGCTTTCTTTTCCATGAACTAAGAGAAATTAGATGTGTAAATGAACCAAGTTAGGATATATATTAAAATATATTTGAAACAATGGAATAGGTGATTTGGGGAATTATTTGCATTTTTCCCTGCTCCTTATTTATCTACTGTCTTCTAAAATAAAAAAATTATAAAAAGAAAAAATATATAGCTCAGTTTTCATTTTTCTGAAGAGTAAAAGGTAATTTATAAGTACAGTTTCTGCTTTTACATCACCTTTGTAATATATAGTTGTTATTCTCCTGTGGGTGGCAATTTAATTAATTATGTATTTTAATTAATTCCAGGTCATCACAATGTCAGCTTCATCTTAGACAGTGATTATGGAAGGTAGGCCATTTTGTAAATAATAATTTTCATAATTGATTCAACTAGGTAAATAAAATAAAAGGTATGTTTACTTTGTGCTATAGATTTAGAGATTAAAGAATTAATCATTTTCCTTCCCAAAATTTGCATTTGAAGAGTCAGTTATTTCCTTTTACTTATAATTTGTGTCTCATACATGACCTTTCAATTATTGGGAATCTAGCACTAACTAAAATAGCAAATAAAAAGTCTTTAGCTGTGATATTGAAATGTGTTATTTTATGTCTTGTGGCTCTTCTGATTTAATTATAATTCTTTTGACAGCTAAACTAATTAAATTTTGATTTGAACTACTATAAAAATAAATAGAACCTCATGATTAATATTCCCTGATATTTTCTTTTATATTAAGACAGAGTTGTGCAAGATCTTAGCACCAAAATATTAATAACATATATTTATAACATTTAATAGAAACTAGAACATCCTGCATATTAATTGTAATAAGATTTTCAAGTGCTCAAGGAACTATCAGAATATGTAAATCACCACACATGTTGCAAATCTCATGTTATAGATGATAATGGCAAACATTTAGTGGCAGCCATGGTGGTAAGGACTTTACACACATTATCTAGTTCAATCCTTCAAAGAACCTATAAATTGAATGCTCTCATGCACCCCATGATACCCACTGGCAAAATGAGAAGAATGTTAAGTAATTTGCCTCAGGATATTCAGCCAGTAGACGCATTGAAAGTAAGTGAATCCTTGTAGTCTAACTCCATGAACTGAGGATTTCATTCCAAAGCTCTACAATGACTGTTGGAAGGTTCCAGCTACCAGCACACCACATCTCGTCACTACTTATGGTCCTGATCCAGAATTTTTTTTAACTATATAGGATTACTGCACTCTTGGGAGCTTTTGCAAATGTAAGGGCATTGCCTGACTGTTGCAGTAACTGGGATGTTAATGGCATTAGTGGTCAAGATGATGATATGCCAAATCTAAATGAAATATTCTGTCCAAAATGTCATAATGTTATTTACTGAGAAAATGAATTGTCAGAAAGCCAAATAAATTTACATTTAGTGTACAATATTGTACAATGTGGCTATAGTAGGTCAACAATAGGATCGATCTGTTGATTTCTTTCTCTTTTTTGAGTCTGAAAAGAGACTTAATGATAAGAAGTTTGAAAAGAATGGCAATGCTATGATCAAAGAGTATTGTTTTCCTGGTCAATATTCACTGGTTGCACGAGAAGGTCAGATTTGGTCCCTACATGGAACTGCAATTCCAGTTGAACCAAAATTCACAGTCATTGTATTTAGAGAACATCCAATGCTAGGCATCTAGAAGCAAAAAGTCTGAATGAAGTGATATCTAGACAGGACATTTTCTTATACACCAATACAGACTAGACTGAAACCATGAAGAATAGTACAATTCAAGAGCAAATCAGAGTGGAAGATATCAGACGGTGCTAGGATACACCTTTGTATTTATATGGAGCAAATGACTAAAGCCTTACATTTTAATAGCTGTTTTCTTCAAGGACAACACTATTTACATATAATTTGTTAAGATCCAGCAATACAATTATACCAAAAATATTAGCAAACCATGTAGCAGCAATAATTATTAGGTTTTAATTTATTTCTGGAAATATGTCTGATTCATTTAGGCTCTCGGTCACATTCTTCCTAAGGTGAAAAGAAAATAGATTCTTAGTTCTGAGTCTGTATGAAAAGTATTAATTGCAAAATCCATCGTATGTCTCTCAGATAAATAATCATCCAAAAATAGGTGGTTTGAGCGTGTTACAGCTGTTAAAGCTGAGTGCACATAAATCAATATGGTTTGTTAATAGGCGCAGAACTTTTCCATGTAAAAACACTACCAAATTAACATTCAATATAGACAATATACCTGCATTAAACTGTTGACCCTGTGATCTTGATTTATAATGCCCTTTTCCTTATTTACCTAATGGCTAACCTTTAATATTAATGTTTCAAAATTGAGGAAATTGTGTTTCTATGCAAAATATTCTTAGGAATTTAAGATAATTGTTAAAGATATTACATTTACTACTTTGAAAACAAAGTTTTAAGATTACATGGCATTTTAAACTGTTAAATCTTTATAAAAAATGAAATTATGAAATTATAAAATTCATATTTTACCAATATCAGGAGCATTCCTGAATATCAAATGAACCAATTAAAGACCAGTGAGATACCCATTCTGGGTCTCTTTTAATAGCCAACCTTCTCTCTGCTCTTTTCCCAAGTTCAAATGACAGCTGTTTCAAACTGATAAGGTTTAGATGAGACTGTCTTAATTGAGGAATGCCCAGTCATTATCAATGAATTAGTGAAAATCACCCCACTGTCATCCAAAATAAATTACATTCAAATTTTTATTTCAGGAGACAATTTTCCTAATCACTTAAGAGGAACAGTTAATTTTTGAGATGTAGAATCTGGCCTGAAATAACATTGCTGAAGATAGCATGGTTTCAGATCTTTGGAAATCAACTTAAAGTCTTACAACATAAAAATACATAATCTCGTATGAATGTCTTAACTCAATTTATCATAAAATAATTCCAAAGGCTCTTTAGTCTTGTACAGGAATGTTGTAATGCCTGGGTTAAGTTTTAGGAGCGTTCATTGCTTGTCTCAATCACAAGACTTATATTATTCTTTTAGATTCTAGTTCAGCGTATTAAAATTTTCCTGAATGGGTTTTGAGTCTTAAAATTCTTATTTGAATTTCTTAATTTTTCAAGCTAGGAATTTCATAGAGTTAATTAAGGGAGGAACATTTAATTTCTAGGATTCTTTCCCTTTCTAACCTCCAGGTAATGGAAGTGGAAGTATATATCTAGCAGAAAATATGCACACATATTAAGTCCCTGTGTTTATTAAGGATGACATAAACCTGGTGGATCATTGTTAATCTGCTCCCATCCATCTGCACTACTGCATAGTATATTAGTGGGTAGCGAGGAGTACTGTGTGGCACACAGGCTAGGGACCAGGGCTTTGGACTCAAAGTGCCTGGATTCCTATTTGGTGTCTACCACTTACCGGCTTTATGATCTTAAGTAAGCTAGGCAAAGTCTTTAGTATTTGCCTACCTCATGGGGTCGATGGAAGATCAAATGGCATAAGAAATTGAAAGCTCTTAGCTGGATTCTCCTAGGACCTAAAGGGGCTCTAAGAGAAGAGACGGGGGAGGGGGGTAGTCAGCAGAAGAGCTCAGCCTTATGTAGGACTGTCCTACTGTCTGTTAGTCTGCTTGGTTTTTGTCCATACAGTATCTTAAAATCAACTTTATTAAGGAATAGTTTACATAGACAATGTACATATCCAATGTATACAGTTATTAAGTTCTGACAGATGAATATACATATATAACCAACAAGCAAATCAAGATATAGAAGGTTTTTGTCTTTGCCCAACTGTTCTGTCATGCTCCTTGTAAGCCACGGGATGATTTCCATCACTACTGTTTTAAAAAATCCTAAAATAAAGGTTATTTTTTTGAGTCAGGAATGTAAATGAGTTTATTTTTTTTACACAGGAGTTTCCCACAGAAAATGGCATATTTTGTTTCTTCTCTCAATAAAATTTCAATGTTTCAAACGTTTGCAGGTATGTGACATTTCTCTCCCAATGTGCATGTGGGTGGAGGGAGGTGGTGTATACTTAATTCCATCAAGTCAAAGATAATAATGATTGTAAGGTGTACCATATTATTTTATGTACTGCTGGAAAAGGAAAAATACCTAAGATGGGGAGGATGCTGCAAGATTAAGCCAGGAACTCCAAAAACTATGTTCTTAATGCAAGATTGATTGAAAACCAGACTTACAACACTAGCAGGGAAGCTTGTATGTTTCAACTTTAGTGGTTGGTGAAGGGAAGACAGAAAGTTTCCTATATCAGCTTGAGTCACAAGCCAAAATTTGTAATTATGCTGTCAGTGTCATTTAGAAGAGTCCTGAAGCAGCTTTTAATTTTATTTAATTTATTCATTTCAAATTCCTCTCGGTTTGATGTGATAGTGCCCCTAGGAGGGTAGCAGAACCCAACAGAAACTCTCCTTGAAGAACTGTATTGGTCCGGCGAGAGTGATGGAGAGGCACGTTCAGATTTCAAAGATATTAAAATGTAAAAAACAGTGTGCCTTGGGGGGAATGAATTAAATGGGAAATACCCCAACTTTTCTTAGAAATTTATTTAATGCAAAATTTGTGTGCAGTAATAGGTAGAACTTTCATATCATTAACAAGAAAATATTTTAGTAACAATTTGCCATCTGTCATATACTGGACTATTTTATTGATATACATAAAATTTTTATGTACAAAGCCACAAAAGTCTAAACATACTTAAATGAATTATTGTATGAGAAAGTATAAATATAAGATTTTGGTCCATAAGTATAAGATGCATTCTTCATGAGTGTATGGAGTAAGAGGTGGTTGAACCTGTCTTCTTGGTTTTTTGTTTTGTTTTGTGCTAAATATCTATACTCAGCTCAGGTTTTCCTAACACCTTCTATCCCATATCTCTTTAGTACTGGTCACCACTAAAGCCTGGTCCCCTTTGGAATGCAGGTCTCAGTGAAAGTTGTTCATGGTCTGCTTTGCAGCATTGCACAAGAGACAAGATAATGAAATACCTAATTCATTCGGCTGGCACTCCATTAGGTGTGGTGTTATGGCTAGGTGACTTGAAAATCTTTTCTAATTGAAGCATTTGGGTTTATATGGCATATTCACGACCCTTTAAAAATGTGCTTTCTTTCCTCAGAGGTTGCCATGGTTTCACCTTCAAAAGGAAGCATTCAAGGTGGTGCCACACTAACAATAAATGGTCGGTTCTTTGATCAGACTGATGTCCCAGTGAGGGTTCTAGTTGGAGGTATTTCTCATGATTTGTAATATGTTACTTTATACAAACGAATGTTGTCGGTTCTTCAATAATTTGTAAATGGAACAACAGTCTTTCTTCAATTATTATATTGAATTAAAATCTAGATATTTTCACATAGACGATGGAGCTCAGTGCTCTTTCTACCTCAGTTTTCCAGAGAGATCGATGCTACAGGAACTGGAACTATGAGGGTGGCACCAGAGGGCCCTGCATCATGGTTGCCATCCACTAATTCCTCACCACGCCCTCTGTCTAATGAGCCTTTAAATATCCTTTTGAACTGTTGTTACTGCTCAATGAGTTAGCTAATTATGGGAAAATTTTAATCAATATTTTGAATGCTGTCCTTGTGCCTTTGTGATATACAGTGCCACCTGTACATTAGAAATTATTGATGACATTGGCCTTGGAAAGAGCATTAGCTCATGTGTTACCATTTACAAATGCGCAGAGGGTTTGGGTCTCTGGCCGTGCATCCATTTTATGTATCTGTCTAGATCTATTCAGAGACAGGGAACTGTGCAGCTTAAAAATGAAGTTGGGGTAAATGTAACAGAGGGACTCTTCCCCGAGTCAAAATGACATCACTCCCGGTGACATCAAGGGGACAGGATGCCCGCCCACGTAACTGGGCACATTCTTGTACATTTTCTGCAACAGCTCTCTTGTTCCAATAGTTTCCACTTTTTAAGGATTCTGCCATGAGCTATCAAAATGTGATTTTTAGGAAAGAAGAGAAATGGATAGAAAGCATCCTCATCTAACATGTGTACAGTACCTTTCCAGTTCCCATGAAACCTTGCTGGTCATCTGCATAAATAGTAAAACCTGGTCCATAAGATTTTTTACATTCCAATAATACATTGTTTTGATGAGACATTATGCTTTAAATATTAAAATAAGGTATATAAAATGCTTGTAATTTATATATTGTGATTTATGATCTATTATTCCTATTTTGATTATGATACAGTTGATATGTTGCAGTGCTGTTCATTTTCTATCATATTTCATTGCCATTAAAATGGCAACCAGACTTGCAATTTGGAGTCTTTAAAAATTTCTTAAAAGTAATGATCTGTTTATGCATTCTTTTACTCTGAATAAAATGGGCTATTGATTTATTACACAGTTTGGTTTATCATTTTCTGGTTCAATTTTCTTGCATTAATAAAGACATTCAAAATACTGAAGTAAAAAGTAGCATTGAAGTCTGCTTTTCCCAGACTACTGAACAAAAGTTGGGAAAGATATGTCTTTCCGTTTCCCTTGTCCCCACTTTTTGTGGACTGCGATTGCTATTTCAGTAAATACTCACTAGGACTGACCTTACATGAGATACACAACTAAAACATAGACTCTTCCATTAAGTCCAATTGCATTTGTGTAGAAGTTATAATTGTTTTCTTTTAGATTCTTGTCTGTTTGAGATTCAGTCAGAATACATTTTATATTGTCACTTTTGTTTTTCATTTGAAGAATTTGGATTAAAACAACCATTTTTCCTACCTAAGAAGGCTGGGATCACATACCTTCATGAAGCCTGAATATGAAGAATATTTATTCAGTGCTCTGAGGAACAAAATATAAAGCTTCACCTTGGACTCAGAAGTGATATGTTTTAGTTTTATCAAATTTTTCATATTTTTCTCAGAGATTTTATATCTCAAACTTATGATACAGTATTTTGCCAGGAAGTTTTTTTTTGTGGAAATACAGTAACTAAGAAATGATAGCTTTATTGGAAAATATATAAAGAAAATGGAGGGCCCCGACTTTGCCTTTTGGTCACGTAACTTTATTTTAACTGAAAAAGTAGTTCAAGTTAAGTTAATGTGATTTGTAGTATGAAGATTCATTTGTAACAGTTGTGCATTTTGTTTCCATGCAGGGCAGCCTTGTGATATTTTGAATATCACAGAAAATAGTATATGTTGCAAGACACCTCCCAGACCTCACAGTCTCAAAACTGTGTATCCAGGTAAGCTACCGTAAGAGGGAATAAGTTTGCAAGAAAAGAAGTGTGCGTGTGTGTGTGTGTGTGTGGTGTGTATCCTTAGTCAAAATATTATTGAATTTCTTGGAATTTGTGGTGTGAATTATAAAAAATTTTCTCTAAGTTTTTAAATTAAATTTTCTGGATTAGGAAATGTTTGTATTAAAATAGCTACATCATAGCTGCACTGTTGTGATAAACCCAGTTTTACTGAAAACAGCATATCTTTATTGATAGAGTATAATGGTGCTTTGATTTTAGATTAAATTATAATTACTAGGGCCGGGGATTTAGCTTAGTGGTTTCGTCACCTGCTGCACAAGCGCAAGGACCTGAGTTCGATCCCTGGTACCAAAAAAAAA